TCTCTGCTGTACCTACATTAGGAGTCGTGTACTCGGGTGGGTCACTCGTATAAGTTACTGTAATGGATGTGTTATAATAACGGAAAAATAGGGTAATTATAAAAACTTCTCCTGTCGATAGGCAATGGTGGGCAAGTTAATGAAAACAATTAACTGTGGAAAGTTAAGTTAGTTCAATTAAATTACCTTCAGTTAAGTTAAAAGTTAACAAAGAAAAAAATTTAACTAGATAAGTTTAAAGTTAAGATAGAAAATAAAATTAACTTATCTCAGTTAAAAAAAAGTTAATTTTTTTGAAGGTACAATATTTTTAAGTCATAAACCACCATAGTATTTTGTTATACACAAACATTTACCAAGATATTTAACACTGTGGAAAAAATTAGATTATTATAATATATAATTCGACATTAAATTACCAAAATCGTAAAAAAGTCAACGAATCAGTATTGCCAAGTTGATTACGCATGACTCAAAAATAAAATTAACTTAACTATGATAATTCACTATAAAAAGTTAAGTTACAACAAAAACAATTTTAACTGAATAAGTTAATAAGTTAAAAACAAAAATAATTAACTAGTTAAGTTAAAAAGATAAAAAAAATTAACTTTTTAACAAGTTAATGCCCACCTTTGTCGATAGGTAAATTAAAATATGATGTTAAAGTTAATAGTAGGTATCTGTATGATTCCCTACACTTATAAGTTATAACTTATAGGTGTTGGAGGATACCAGCTGATGCAAAATAAATACTAAAGTCACGTTATTACCTTCATTCAGGTGTTCAGAGGGCTCTCGAGATCGTATATTCGAGAATAATTTGATCAAACAGCACCGTACAATATAATTTTATGCAAAATGCACATACATATTATAATGTATAATATCCGCAATCAATATAAAATAATAAATATTATATTAAATTCCTTACCTGACTTAAAGCTGTCTCTGAGTTATGCTGTAATAGTTTTAGGTGACATAAAGTAATACTTAAAAATACACAAATCGAAATAATGAACACTGATTATTGCTCGTCGCTCGTAGGATTCGGTGTTGGGAGGTTGTTACTTAGGTGGCTAATGCTCATGCACTGATTTAAGGGACGACACTAATATGCTGTACCTAGGTGGTTTTATCAAAGGTTTTTGTGCTTCCCAGAGCTAGATTTCTCTATGGCGGCAAAAACCTTTTTCGACCATTACTTTTCTCTGGAAGCATATAACTACTCGTACCTATATAAGGAAGCCGCACTCGCGCTTTACGGTCGTAAGTACTTTCCGATTTCTTCATTCTCGATCCGCTTGATTGTATATTACAGATCGTACCTTCTTGTCGGTGATGATGGTTTTTTTGGGGGATGGCCGATTTCTACGAACGGCAGTCTGACCATTATTTATTATTTTATAAGATTTTAGTTTAATTATTATAATGATGTGTGAGCATATTATCATTACGAACTATCGATTTTAGAATACTTTTATTTAAACACTTTACAAGACTTCGGATATAGGCAAATGACCCTCGATTACATTGAGTGAATTTACTCGCTGATTGTCCGATTACAGAGGCATTAATAAACTCAGTCTCAATACTACTGCTAGCCACTATATAGGCCGCTATATAGGTAGCACACTAATAAGCGATTTTCCTAGTCATGTCCGTGGTCAATAATATTATTAGACAAAGTGATTTCAATCACCAGCGAATAGCGAAAAAAGTAGTCCAGTCATTAAACTTTATTCGAGAGCGAGCGTAATAGTGTTACTCGATTGTGATATTAGATCGTTACAATGAGCTAGTTTGGTTGCAGCGAGTGAATTCGAGGGGCGAATAGCAGCTATTAAATTCGACTAATGTAATCGACGCTGTATTATGTGACTATATGTTAACGCGTTATGTACGTGCCTGTTATTTGTGGGAGAGTGTCCACCTGAGCCCTCAAAATTTGGAGGATGTCAAAGTAATATTTTGTTTTCTTTCTCAGACCGATGCGCGACATAGATAACAAGCATTGATGTAAAATATTTATTTATGATTTTTGAATAATCTTAAAGTTAAAACTACATATATCGAAAATTACAGAGGATAATATTTTTGAGGATTTTACATATCGGTTTTATATTTTATTATTATTAGACTTTAAAAAAGGGGAGAGGAACCTAGGTAACCGCTCTGCTGTACAATATAGGAGTAGAGTGTACCTTGTCATTAAGTAATAATAAGTATAGGTCACTGAATATAATAAAATATGTGTTAAATTTGAATTCAATGGTAAGTCATTGCATATACAAATAACGATTCTAAGGGGAGATGGATGGTCAATCTATTGACCATTATCATATTATGTAAATATATTGCTGGGTAATAATAAATTAATATAGTAATACACTAATACGGTATAAATAGTATATAATGTACAATATTATGAACAGACAATAACATAAAATTAATCTAAATGTTTTGAAAATGTCAATGTGTAAAAAAAATTTAATAATATACGTTAGTTTTAAACTTTAATTATTTCTCCATCGAAAATATTTTTGAATTATAACAAAATAAGAGAATCATTCTATGAGAAATTGTTATTTTACCTAAGCGTAAATATTCAGTGTTAATAGCTTAAATTTAATCTAAGTATTTTGAAAATGTCATTGCGTAAATAATATAAAATATATCCCTATAGTAAAATATATAATATGAGAAAAAGTTTTAACTTTTAAGTCTCCACGAGGCACGACACACGAATAAAGATTTTGAATTACAACATTTAACTTACATCGATATTTTTTGTTTAAATATCTAATTTCGTCAAAATTTGAACTTCAAATGTTTATAATAAAAAAAAAGTTGTGCTTATATTGTACACCTTCTTATTGAAATGAACAATACCTATTAGATATGCAATGAGCTCGGTCACCGAAATACCTTGTGTCATACTCATAGGCGTTTGGGATTTGTGGGGGGGGGGGGGGTAAAGCCTTACTTTGATAATATTGAATAAGCTGAAAACAAAATGTAGGACGTGTTAGAGGGGCTATGGATATTTTTTGAGGGGTCTTAGTCCTTAAAGCCCCCCCTATTTGTGCCTATGGTCATACTGTTACTCAGTAGGTACTCCCCGACGACCGACCTGTGAGTTTTGTCAGTATCTCGTATAGTATGTACCTATATAATATTATGTAGCGATGCTCAAAACAAGTAGGAGGGATTTCCGAGCAAGACTAGTGAGTGCTAGTATGCTGTGTAGTTTATTCCTAAATAGGTACACCTAAACAACAATGATATATGCGATTTTAAAATTCTTCTATTGTCCACTCATTATTACTAATTAGTAAATGTTGTACCTACTTTTAAATCCAACAAAATAATTATTTTTATGTAATTGTATACCTAATGGTTCACAACTATATTAAAATTACCAAATGAATTATTAGAATATTAAAATTAATTTCACTTTTTAAATTAATATTAATTATAATATTATATTGTATAGCTGTATGTAGAGATGGGAGTGCTGTAAATTTATCGTAAATTTTACTCATTTTTTTTACTGGTAAATTATTTTTTACCAAAAAAAATGTTGTGTGGCCCCTCTAATTAAATGAAATCAAAAACGCCTGGTCTGAATTGTTAAGAGATATCTTTTTTATCAACTGATACAGAGATATTATCATTTATAATATTGATATACTTGTTATTGTTTATATAGTTTGTTATAGACTATAGGTAGTATCAATATTCTGCCAACTCTACTATATTTTAGAACATTAAATATCAGTAGGTAATTGGGAAACATTTTATATAGGCAGATCGCAGATACCAAGAAGGCAGATAATATGATATTGATAATATACTATTAATTATTATTAATACAAAAGTTAAGTCTAAATAAACATGTTTTGACTTAAAAAGTAATAAAGGTTATGTACATTTTAATAGTTTAGTTTAATTTAAATTATTTATTTATTGTAATATGAATAATTAAATATTCATATTTCATAAAATGTACTAATTACTAATGTGTAATAGTAAAAAATAACAATGGCTCTAAGATTGAGCTATTTTACCATTTTTACCACCTTATTAGTAAATTTACCAATATTTTTTTACTTAAATTCTCCATTCCTAGCTGTATGCCTGTATAGGTAACGAAAACTTCGTATATCTTTATAATAATTTATATTATAATTGTAAATTAAAATGTAATAGATTATTTTGTATTTTCGGACTTTTCGTCCTTGATTCGCTTTCGGCCACTTCTTGAGATTTAAAATTTAAATTCATAATTCAAAACTTGTTCCAATTGTCGATCGATTGTTGATTGTAAGGCGGGCGGCAGGCGAGCAATTTCGGGTCGAGTGAGTTCGCCATATTGAACTATATAATTAAATATATGACTATATAACTATATATAATTATTATTTAACTATATTAATTATTATAGTTTAACTGTAATTATATATTATAATTATCATTATATAGATCAATGGTTTGCCACCGATCTATTCAAATTTTCGCGCGGTGGGCGCCGGTGGCAGAACGTTTCGCCCCGGCGCGACCAAACGTTTGTCGTTCACGTTGGCCGAGGGGCGGGCGGTCCTGCTTATCGTTATCATCGTTTCTTTTTATTTTTTTTCCCGTTTTCGTCCCCCGATCCAGAAGTGCTTCACTACAGTACTACACGAATTTTTATTCCGTTGATTGCGTTGTTTTTTTTTTTCGATTTCCCCGCACACAACGACAACGAAAAGTGTCCACGACAATTAACAACAGCGGCACCGCCAACAGCGTCGTCGTCGTTCGCGTGACGGCCATAAAGAAATCAACGGACGACATGTAAAGCGGTCACGACCGTTTTTCGATTCAACCTAAACGACTGCAGAACGCGGACGCCCCGGGGGCCATACAACAACGTCCTGTCTGGCCGACGGTTTCCAAACGTCTCCGGAAAAAGATCTGATGTCCGTCGTATTGCTCCAGTTCAACTCTGTCGCTAAATGATGAAAATGAGCGACGAAACGCCAGTCAGTTCTCTGGTTCTACCAGTGTTGATCAGGCCGATTTTGTCTCAGGTATTTAATGTTCTGCGCTGTAACAATCCCTTCGAACACGCTTTGTAATATCCTTTCTTTGGTTCTATCATATTTTTGATTTTTAACCAAATTGTATTTTTACATTTACGCTGTTGTCATAAAACTAAACTATGTTGTAATTTTCAGTTAGAGAAACGCAATGTTTCTGCGTCGCAAACTCTACGGTCAGCATTGTTTAAAACAGAAAATACTCATCCAGGGTTTGCGTATAATTTGGTTGCTGGAATAATGAAACAAGGTGATATTAGTATTAATATGAATGAGAGTGTATTGAGACTTCAAGGAACAGTTTCTGATCTAGAAGGTAAATCTTAAACTACCAATTTAACATTAAGTACCTAGGTATTTAATATTTTAGAATTATTTTACGCACTTCCATTTTTGAAATGTGTTAAAGATATGTTGGACCGAGTTTTCTTATTTTACCTTGTTACATGTGAAATTTAGAGAAAATAGGGAAATTACTAATGAAAATTATTAAAGGTGTATAGGTAGTATAATTAGCAATTTTAATTTTTACTACCTATCTAAAACATATATAAACTACTGCCACAGATGTATACAATATATTATATGATAAAACTCTGTTATTAATTATTAATAAATGTTATTAATTTTTATGAGTTAATAACATTAAGAATAAGAATTTTAATAACCCCTGCCAATTCAGTAGAATTGGGACTAGAACCTTTATGATTTTATTGGTTAGAGTTAGTTTTTTATTGGTTTGGTTAGAGTTAGAGTTTTAATTATCTCTTCAAAAATCAAAAATGTACATTTTTTTTTCTTAAATATAAAAATTTTAGATTCGGTTTCACCCTTTTTATTAGACTTGCCGTTTGTTTTTTTTAACCATTTAAGTAGGTACTGTATAAAATAAATTTACATACTAAGATTCTCTATTTATTGACATGGGCATTATTTTTTTTAAGTATTTAAAGTTCAAATGCTGACAAAATTCATCACAATCTTGAAAATTTGCAAATAATTTTGTACCTAGTTAAAAATGTATAAAATATTATATTTTTATAGTTAAAGATTGAAAATTGAAAACAAGGTTTCTCATAAGTTTTTACTAGGGTAACCAACAAATCTGGACATTATTTAAACACTATCATTTTTAATAAATATTTTATATTCATATTTGGGCTAAACATAATATTTAAATGGAGATTAATGATTTTATTAATTTTTTGTAATTCATAATAGCAGCTTTATTATGATGACCAGTTTCTCATACTTAAAAATCAAAATCAAAAATGTAAAACTGATATTTTAAATCGGAAATAAAATGTTTCCCTTTTTGAAAACACGTAAGATCATTAACATGTTTTGTGATCGGCCATAAAATATATTACTGATTACCTATGTCAACTAGTAATATTGTAAATAATAGTTTATGATAGGAAGAGTTTGAAATACAATTTTGTGTATGTAAATGTTCAAAAGGGATAAAAGTGGATGAGAGTTTAAATTGTAGAAGCAATAAAAATGAATTAAAATTCTACCTAGTACCTACTCAATTATTATTTTAGATGGTACAGGTTTTGATGCCAGACCATACACTATAAAGTGTTCCCACTCCATTAATACCTGCCACTTATTTATTCCATATTTTTTTGTAAATTTTGTTTTTAATAATTTATTTATAACATAGGTATACACTTTGATCTACCTTTACCTATCTTGATCCTTAATGACATTGCCACTGGCAAATATTTTTTATATCTAAAAAGATTTTGTATTCAAAGTCACAAGTCTGATTCTTATGAATAATTCTAACTCCGATAATTATTCAATTGCCGATCAATGGTCGTGCACAAGTCATTATAAATTGGTGGGAAATTCATGTTGTTTCATTTCAGTAACTGTACCTACTACAGTATTTTCAACAGAATTTTACACAAGGTATATCTTGTATAATACTATTATAATTTAAAAAAACATTATTCTTAAATTATTCAATAAGTGATACTACATTTTATTTAAATTAACTATTAGAACATCAAAAATACAATAAAAACAAGTGGCGTGTGTGAACTAAACTTAATTGGCGACGGAACACTTTCTGGGCAGGCATAAACAAAACCTGTACATTTTATACCATATGATTTTTTCAGCATTTTAGTATAACTTTTCAGAAATTATAATTATACAATTATAAATGAATAACTATTAATAAACATTGCTGTAACTTGTTTTATATTAAATTAAAACTAAAATCATAATATATTTTTTTACGAACATATTTGGTAATTTTTAGTGCATATACATCCAAGCTCTAATAATAATATTAAGTAACACTGAACTGTATGTATGGAACACACTATGGGTCGACAAACTTGTCCCACTATCACCTTATTGATTTCGTTTTCGTTATTCTGTATTATAAAAAATAACACATAGATTCATTATTACAAAAAATTTTATTTTTCTTGTTATGATACCAATGAAAATACATCTAATGGAATCAAAACTGCGGGCTCTAAAAAGAGAACACTTTTCACTGCACAAGTTATATACAATCAATTTTTGTTTGCCACTTTAGATATTAGAGTGAATGGACCTTTTATCAAACTTTTAGATTATTATCATAGAACAACATTATCTGTTTGTTTTCTCTCATTGGTTTTGTACAATATTTTAATTTTTAAGTGAGTTATGAGTATGTAAAATATTGTATATAATAATATAATATATTATAGTATGTAGATTATTGTTTATAAAAAACCAAGAAACACTATTGTACTCAAGGTAATAATTAAATAATCAGTTAATCTCATAAAAGTACTTAAATTAAATATATTACATAAGTTTATCAACATTTAAGAAGTATTAAATACATTGTATAATATGTTATGGTTATAATATACTGTATTTACAAAAACTAATGTTTTATATACATCTATTTAAAAAATTTTAAAAGTTCTAAAGTGTCCCTTGGTTTTTTTCAATATTTTTTATAGAAAGGTTAGGTTAATAAATGTTATGTTTTTATGAAAACTTTTTTGTGGGGAATTGATTCCTAAAATTTTTAAGTGAACAAACTGGGTTTGGTATTTATTTATTTTTAATCAAATTTTAAATATGTTTATGGTAATTTAACAGTTAAAATTAATAATATATAACTAGCATTAGATTTATTTATAATTTAATAAGTACATAATATGTAAGGGTTATTAATACAAATATCCTAAAATCTTACATATTGTTTAGGTGGTGAATATAGGTTAAATAGATCTGAAGATGCATTTCAAGAATTAAATAAAAAGTCTATGGCTTTAAAAAGAATATTAAGTCGCATACCAGATGAAATCAATGATCGTAAAACCTTTTTGGAAACAATTAAGTAAGTTATCAAAAATGTTAAAATGTTTTTAAAGAATTTTTATAGTTTTATTACTATCATATTATAATAGTAAATGTATTGAATAATGTGTGGGAACTCTTTTAAATGACTAAGTACATCCATTAGTTTGATAGAAAAATATATATTTTCAGACTACTGTCTACTACTACTGGTAAAGTGGTGACATTTATTTTTCTTTAAACATAATTTATTTATATTTCTTATTGTTTATTTTATGTAGATCAAATCATATGTAATGTGTTAAATTATCTATAATATTTTGTTCATCGAAACTTTCCGCTTTCTTTTATAAATTTATATAATATAAAAGTTATTATATGAAGACCATCAAGAAGACACGACACAATACAAATATGCTTCAAAATCACTTAGGAATAATTATTTACTGTGATCAACAATTAAAAGTTAATTTTCTGTTTTTATTATTGTATTAAGTTGATATAACAAAAATGTGTTAGTTGTGTTTTCTACTTTTCTAAAATCTATTTATTAACACAATACATTACAGGCCTGTAACAAGTTAAATAGAAAGAAAAAAAAACAGAAAAATATATATTATACAATTAATATTTCTTAGTAATATATAGTAATTTGATTAACTTTTCAAGTTTATCAGCTAAGTGAAACATTTTTTTTTTGCATAAATATCAATGTTTTTGATGTGCTGGCTGCAATTACTTTGTTTCTGGCCGATTTTCGTAATAGTAACATTTATTGTTATCATGATAAGCCTCCTCAAAAAGCATATTTATGATTCATAGATTTTTCCTTTCATATGATAAACTTCAACTAGCATTCTACATTTTTTAAATAAGAATCATCATTTTTATGTATGATATTGCTAGTGGTGAAGAGGGTTGTAACACATAATATAATATTACGATTAAATATCTCAATGAACGTTTAATATTTTATTGAGAGTATACACAATATTTTTCTATAAGGTTCATTTGTTTGTTGAGTTTTATATTTTATAATCGCTCAACAATTAATTCAAAAATGTAAAACAATTTATCTAAGTGATATAATAATTAAGTGTTTAAATGTTAAAAGTTTTTATCAATTTTGTTCAGACAAAATATTATTTTTTGTTTATTAATTTTTTTGATATTTACTATGATATTAACATTATTTTATTCACGATTACAGAGAGATAGCTAGTGCTATAAAAAAATTACTTGATGCAGTAAATGAAGTATCTGCATATATTCCAGGGCCTAGTAACAAGCAAGCATTAGAACAGAGAAAACGTGAGTTTGTTAAGTATTCCAAACGGTTCAGTAATACACTAAAAGATTACTTCAAGGAAGGACAGTAAGTAAATTTGATGTTTATTTACAAAACCTAAAGATAGTTCCTATTGAATTATAAGTGACATATACATTTTGACAATTTAGTTTTACAATATAAAAGATTCTACTAACAAACCTATTTTATGTCAGCTCGGCTTCCCTACTAAAAATTAAAATAATACAGAACATCAATGGCGGCTCATGGTTGGTTGACTGGATAATTGCATCCCCTTATTAAAGAAAATAATAATATTAATTTTTTACTCATATTTATTGATAAAGAAGTTTTATTAAAACTGAAATGTTTTAATAATAGTATATTTATGATACATTTGTCGTGTGTGACTGTGAAGACATTGAAAATCAGAAGTGTGTTTTTATCTTTGTTCAAACTGTTTTAAATACGTCTTCAATTATAAGTGAAGGACCATAATGGTATGATTTTGTGTACATTTAAACTGTGATTTTATGTACGCGTTTTGGACAATCAGCAGAGTTGTCCATACAGTATAATATTAGTATAGGTAGTAGCCACTAGCCAGTAGGTAATTTATTTTTAAATTAACAATGTATAATATGCTCTTTTTGTTGGTCGCTATTGTGAATTAGTATTTTTAAACATAAATAATTTAAAGCTTGAAAGTAATAATATATGTAATATTTTATTTGTTATATTTATGACTAGAGATATCATATTAAAGTCGCGCCCCCACCAACAGAAACCACGAGCCGCCAATGCAGAATATTTATACATTTTAGATATCTGTTTACTAATATAACTTAACAAATATATATTATGAAATTAAACAAAAATTAATTAATTTAACACTATTTTAACAATTACATATAACTTTATTTTTCCCTGAATTGTATCATAAAACTTTTTCTATACCACATTGTTGGCTGTAGTACAACTTGCATTCATAAGTTTCTGCTAGAAATTGATTTATTTAGGATTATTAAAGGAAGTTAGATTTCTGAAATGTAGAGACATGATATAGGTTACAAAAAATGTGACAAAATTGTATTTTAATCAAAAATCTGTAATACTTGCTAAACTTTTAAGACAATACTGATTATTAATTATTTAATGTATTTTTTTAGTAATATTAATTATATTTTATAAGTTATAATAATGGATTGAATTTTTTTTTTTTCAGTGCCAATGCAGTATTTATCAGTGCCTTATATTTAATTCACCAAACAAACCAAATTATGATAACCGTAAAAAGTAAATGTGAATAAAAATGTTCTTATATTTCAATTAATAATTAAGCAATGTAATACATTCCACTACCAATTATTTATTACAATTATTGTTCTCATAGGAAAAAAGGAAACAATGTTATATAGTTTTAAAATAATGTCGAATTATATTATTAATATCTATATTATATTTGCTATTTAAATACATTGTCATATTTAGAAAATTATTTATAAATAACATTATTTTTACAAATACTTTTGATTGATTTATGGACAATATTAATTTTGTTTTGAGTTCATGAGTTTGAATACCTTGATTTTAATGAAGTCAAATTTCTATTTTTTTTTCTCAATATGTTTTAACTAGCAAAATCTTATTACAAATTTTAAAATGTTATAGCACTTGTCCAATACGGAAAAATATTTTTCTTTGTTAACATTTTATTATGATTATAATTTGAATTATTATCAACAGTGTTAACTCACAACTATTATTTTATACATTTATTAAATATTCATAAATGTTATATTTTTATGCACCAGTATTATAGTAAAGAATTGTGATTAAGTACAAGTTGTACCAATAATAAATTCTGATATCATACATAAAAGATAGTGTGTTGAGTATCAAAATACAATTATTACCATTATTTATTATTATAATTAAAATAAACTATAAAATATAATTTTTATTTTTAAATAATTATAATGTTTAAAACTTTTCAAAGCTCTATTTTTATTTATAATGAATAAGCAACTGTTAACCCTTATCATAAACATATTACTATTTACCCGACTAATGTATTGTATCTGTATTAATCATATATTATATTATTAGTTAATTTATTTAATTTAATTATTTAAATTAAATTGTATTAATATTTAAAAAAAACTTATTTATTTAGAATGTAATATTTTAATTCAATTATTATCAATAGAACATTTTATGGATTCCTATAATTGTTATAGAAAAATAAATTTAGAAACATGTGCAATTTACCTTAAATGTCAAAAGAATGTTATACAGGATTTTGAACAAAAAAAGTATTTTCAATTCTCAAAATTACATGTTTACTATATATTTTATTCCATTGTGTTGTTGATTATATATAAAAACATTTTAAAGTATTTTTATTGAAATGGGGATCAAATGAAGTGATATTGAATTGCTTAGATAAATTAAATTTAGTTAAATGTTTTAAGTTAAACTTGAAGTTTGTATGTTTTTTTTTCATGTCTGCGTGAAATAAAAATTCTAAAAATTGTCCTTTGATAAATTCCATTTATCTAACTTATTTTCTGATGTGAAAATAATATATTTATGGTAAACTGTCTAGTATCCTTTATTTTTCTGTTCAATAATTTTTGGATTGTTAACAACATGATTTTATAAACCAGTGAATAGATAATAGAAATTTTATTTTATAAGATCTTACTATAAATTAGCGATAGTATTTATCTAAAAGCTGTCCCAGAAACAGAAACATATATGTAGAATGTAAGAGGCAATATATATTAAAATAATAATTAGAAGTATTTTATATTAGTTATCAATTATCATCTTTAATATATTATAGATAAATATGAATTGTTTGAAATTGTATGAAATGTTTTTACTTTTTACCAAATCAAACCATTTAAAACTCAGTATTCTGTGTAATGAATTACAAATTAGTAGTGTATTTCTATATTAGACTATGGTAATAAAATATAATATTCATATAAATGATGTATTATATTCTATAATCTATAAGATATAACAATAATTAGATTATTTTATTTTTACTTATTTCATACACTTTATGCAATAACTGCTCTGCATTTATACGGCTTGAACTAGAAGAATTCATTTTTATTTTGTTCTGTATTTTAATTTTTAAGATAGTCACAAGTCACTATAAAATAACAATGAAAACATACATAACTAATAGGTACTAATAGTACCGTTTAAAATAATATTGAAATATTTACTATTTTAAATATTTAAGTAATTATTTTAATATTGGTATACATATCAAGCATGTTATGTTTTCTTAATGTAACTGTAATTAATAATAAGTGACCTATTTGGAGGATACTTGATAAGCACTAAACAATCTTTATGCTATATGCAATTCATTTCTAATAATATTTATTCAAATCAAAGTAAGATTATTAGTTAATTTGTCAAAAATTATATACAATTTTGTAATAGTGTGAATAGGTATTTTCTTCTTATTATAATATGTATTCAATTCATAAATTATACCAGACATTTTCTAATTTTTAAGGTAACTTTATGAATTATTTATTATACTTAACTATAAATATTTTTTTTTAATACATATAAGCAAAATTGTAATGAAAGTACAGAAGGGCAATATAACTAAGAAATGTATTCCTAAATAAAATAGACCATAGTCATGCTTATAGCCCATAGAGTAATTGATATATGTTTATAGTAACACGCTGTATACAATAATTATGTAAAAATACACAAAACAATCACTATATAATAATATTATGTAGTTAGTGTACATGATATAACTATATTAAGTAGCTATAATTGGCATAACAATGAATTGGCCATCGTGTTAACATGTTTTGTGTGAGCAATAGTGTACAAGGATAATAAAAAATAAAAATATGTCGTCTGCCAAACCTCAATTACTTATTAACTATCCACACCTGCTAATAAAATGTATAATTCCGAGAATCACATTTAATAACGTGGAAATAGATTGGACTTTTGTATGATCATAGAAGGCCATCCCAGTATACTTGATAACTATTGATAATTTAAAATCTTAATTCAATAACCTGAATAAAAGATTGAAACATGGTTGACTACAATTTGTATGCATATGAAAAATATAAAATAGTAAAACTGAAAGTTGGGGACATCAAAAAATAGGTGCCTATTTAAAAAAATTCACTAAAATACACGATTTAAATTTTAATTATGATACACGATACTTATTGTAATAGCCAATAACTGCACGATAGTTGCATGTTGCACAATCTATGCAGTGACTATGGAATATTTTGAATCGTCCTCAGTGCATTTTCTGTACAAGCCATAAGGTGTTTCCCTTTTGTACAATGGCACAGACGTACCTAACCGGATGTGTAGTTTTTTTAAGCTGAATAATTAACTAACTACTGCCGATCACCAGCTCCGTTGAAAACAATAAAATTTGTTATATTTTCTCGTTGCTAACATTCGGATTTAATGTCACTCCGCAAGCACCATACCATATCCTGTGCCGGCTGACGATCGAGTCTCGACGGTTTCAAAATATTCTACTGGGGCGAGATTAATTTCTATCCATTTTTGTTTGTTAAAATGCGTTTTATTTGGTAAAAAACTAAAAATGTAATGGAAATGCATAGGTACTAAAACATGCCACTAAGTCGATGACGTATACTCATTACGCATTACATATTAATAATATTATGTCACAATAAAATTTTAAGGATGATTGTAAAATAAAACATTATAATCATGACTTAATAAACTATTTAATTATTATTGAATTAATCATTTAATCTTTAGTCCGTGGTCATGACTATAATATTCTTCGCAACTCGCACGGTGTACATCGATCCGTCGACCTATGACAGGGATAGGTAGATATCAGCAACTGTGTCCGTTGCAGTGTTGCCAACATGTAAAAGTCCGTTGTCCGTATACATTTTGTCAAATTACCGTATAGGACCGTACGTATACTTTTTGTCAAATTACCGTATTGGACCGTACGATAATAAATAAAGTCGAAGGTGCATCAATGTCATCATCACTTTCATTAAACATCATAATAAAAAATATATAAAACGACCGGATAATCGACTAAACAAAAAAAAGTAACTCGTTTTGATGTGAAAAAAATGTGCGACAACAAAGTATTATAGGTTAAATGTTTGCCACTGTGGAGTAAAACATTGCAAAAATAGATCGTGGGGAAAAACACACAAGTAAAATAAGGTCAAAAACCTTAAAGAGAATATAAAACCCCAAAAATTCAATAAAGGCGCATTTTATCTTATCCTAATTGTAATTTTGACAAAACTATATAACATGATATCACTGGGATCTACCACAATGATGATAATCACGGAGTACGGAATAAGATATGATTTTATATTATCTTATAAACATTGGAGATATTCAAGATTGTTGGTATACGAAAAAAAAATTTAAATATTTATCGTACGTATGGTAACCCTGCAATTACCGTACTTTCCTAGTAATTTTGACCGGTCCGTCCGTGGACCGTACGGGAGGCCAAATTACCGTACTTCCCCAACCGGGACCGTACGGTTGGCACCACTGGTCCGTTGCGTATAAACGTTATCAAATTTTGGTAATTTTGATATTTTAATTATTGTTTTCCCCAAACCAATGGGAATAATAATACTATAATTATAATTGGGTGTGCTACACTGCACTTTTGGTCTCACATGACCGTCGTCCGATTATGACATTTCTGTAGAAGAAAGAAAATCATTTTTCATTTTCTTTGTCTTGCTACTGTCGCACATTCGCAAGAAAGAATTCTGTCTCACCTTTTTACGTTTTTTTTTTTCGGCAATAGTTACAAAATATTGTTAATTAATTACATACCAATTCCAATCCTTCATAGTGTACGTCGTATTCCTTGCATTATTACACACATCGTATACCTACTTACATTATATCCTGTCAATATCCGAAGTTCCTATATACCTAGGTAAGTAAATCATATTCCTTAATCCTTGTTTAATTGACAATTATTGATTTAGTTTTGTGTCGTTTGGAAAACACAATGTCGATAAAAAAAAAACATGAAATAATAATATTGTGGAAGGGAAAAATAATAATATACCTACCTACAAAGTTTATTAAATTAATTTTATTCAAACATTTATTAGTCATCGAATAGTTATCGTCTGTGCTCATTAGTTTAGCATAGTAAAGTTACGTACAGGTCACAGTTATCTTTAATAATGAACAGTAGTCGATTTATTAGAGAAAAATTATTTTATTCCCGAAAAACATAAGAAACTACGAAAACGAACGA